CAAAAGGAAGGAGAGGGCAGCTAAACCGACCTCCAGAGGACGCCCCACCACCTCCGCACCCAGCGCACGGCTGCTGGGGGAGACCAGGGTACCTCTCTGCACGCTGGCTAGCGTGGCGCTAACAGCCCTTCACGGACAATTGATTCCCTGGCAGTGGCCCAGCCCGCGGAGCAGCGCCGGGAGGAGCTGGCAAGGCGCTTGCGAGTGAGTAATTGCTGAGCGCTGACTCAGCACCGGATCGGTTACAGCCGGCTCGCCCAGGTCCGTGGGGAGGGCAGGGAGAGGTCTGCGGCGAGTCTCCCCTTCCAGCCCAGTGCTTCCCCTTGGCCCAGGCCCCAAAGGATGACGTTTCTCCGTAACCTGGTCCCTTGCAGGCTCTCTGTAGAGCCAACCCAGCATTGCTGTTAATCCCTTGGTCCCAAGAAGGGCCTTTCTCATCCACGGCGAGGTGCTGGGCCAACTGTACCCTGAAGCATCCCCAAAGCAGACACATCAGACCAAGATGAACCTCCTCAGCCAACGAGGCTGCTGCCAGGAAGATGCATATCCCATGGTGTCCCCGCAGATGTGACCTTGGGAAGACCTGCCTCCAGCCTGGCCCATCCCCTTCCCTGCAGCTGCACCGGGACACCTTCTCTCACCGCAGGGGCTTGGCCCAGCTCCTCTCCCCGCAGCCCCAGGCCTCTCTGCCTCAAAACCCTACCCCAAGAACCCCAGTCCTTGCAGAGGCAGAAGAGCTAGCAGCACCCTAGGCGAAGGCTGGACCTCCACTACCAGGCCCACCCACAGATGGATGCCAGCCTGCTTGCTACCCACTGAGAAATGACACCCTGCAACTGGCACACCGAGACACCCTCGTCACACCACATCGGCGGAGGTGGTCTCACACTCCAGCAAGGCCATCCAAGCCCACTTCGGACCAAGGGAGCTAGAAATTCCCGGCCACGTTCTCTCAGCCATTCTCCCAAGCAGAAGCCCCATCTGCACCTCTCCACCACTGAAAAGAAATGACCATTGCCACATCCCTGGCAGCACTGCGCTCTGCATCAACCTTCCTCTGCAAAAACCCAAACAGGTGCCATTTCCCACATGATGCCACCCACACAGGGGAAGGCGTCAAACCAGGAGACAGGATTATGTGGCAAGCTGCGGTCCCGACTCAGGAGAGACCTGGCACAGCTCGCCTGTCTCCCGTGCCTCAGTTTCCCAGCCTGCCCTGCAATTAGCTAGTCTTCATTAAGCAAAGCTCACGAAGTGCTCAGAGATCCACAGATGACAAGCACCATCTGTTTGCACACATCGAATCAGCTGCCCTGAACATGGTATTTCCATCAGCACACAAAAAGCAATGGCTGTGATCCGGGTACTCCTTCCTCAGGGCTCCTCGGTGGCTGTGCACACCCACCTGCCCTCCACGCAACAGTGAGGGGCTCTTGTCCATGCAGGGTTCACCCGCTCAAGCCAATTACCAGTGTTCACTAGCACAAGCCCATCAAATTTACCCACTCGTTTGTTTTTGTCACCAGCATACCTCATCACACTCCAGACAGGACTCAAATCTGGGTCACATCCCTGGCAGGAGACAGAGCCAGCACCTGCAAAACTGTGTGTGCTGCCACCTCAAATATCACTGTTGCGTGATGGGATGCTGAGCGAGCATCACCTAGGAACACGTCCCCGCTAAGACCTTGTTTCCCAGCCCCTGGCACGAGGCTAGGAAAGCACCTGGGGAGGCAACAGGAGGAGAGCTTTTCCCCATCCCCCTGTGGCATTCGACCAGTACTTGCTTCAGACCAACTTACTCGCTAGGCCGCCCTCCCTCATCTGCCTACCCTGTCTCCATCCCACTCATCTCCCCCCATCTCTGATGGGCGAGACACGCCAGCCCACCAGCTCAGGCAAGTTGGACATGATGTCTTCAGACCAGCCCTCCTTGCCCAATGGAGAAACACATCCCACCACAGGCTGCTTGCCCTATAGCAGGAAAAGCAGCCAGGAGCAAAACTAACCCATGACTCTCCAGTGCAGGGGACCATCCTCCCTCCCCTTGCTGTGACATAGAAACAACACCAGCAATCATGAAATAGGGTCTTGCCCCAGGTTCTAGAGCTCGTGTCCTTGCAGGGTGAGCCCTGTGCCCAGCTGTCCAACCTCCCAGTGCCCCACGCCACTGGACTCACCCGCTGAGGACCACAATGAAGTCCATGACGTTCCAGCCATTGCGCAGGTACGAGCCCTTGTGGAAAACGAATCCCAGAGCAACAATCTTAATCCCAGCCTCGAAGCAAAAAATCCCAATGAAGTACGGCTCTGTCTTCTCCTGCCAAAAGGGAAACAGCAACACAGTGAGAGGGGGGACAGGACAAACACTGCGCCTGCCATTTTGCATGGGATGGCTTTGCCTTACGTCACGCCCAACTCACATCCACCCCACCTCCCACCAGCCCTGTCCTCCCTTTTCTGAGCTTTCCCTAGCCCGTTCTCAGCCAGCACCAAGCTTGGAAACAAAAAGGCAGGGCTCTAGTCACGCTCAAGATGTCCAGTCCCCCTTCCCTGCCCCACTTTCTATAGATGAGGAGCACGTGACAGCAACCTCCAGACACCCCACAAGGCTGGAGGGGGAAGGTCCCAGAGCAAGCCTCCTGCACCTCCTACCCTACCCAGGCCTACGTAGAATCAACAGAAATTAGCCCGTTAGGAAGGGATCGCTCCCCTCAGCTGGTCTTGCACTCATCCCTGGGCACTCTGATGCCAGGATGTGCCACACAGCCCACAGCCCCTTCCAGGGCTGGGAGGAGAAGACAGAAAGGTACTTACTAATCTCCGTGACATGGGTGTCTTGTCATCCTCTGGAAGGTGTTGCTCGAGGGCCAGCACGATGCAGTTGGCAATGATAGTTGCCAGGATCATATACTCAAAGGGAGTGGAGGGGAGTTAAGGAACAGACAAGAAGTAGAGCACATGTTCAACCCACCAGCTGCCTCCCTTCCCCACTCCTTGTTTCATCTGTTCATTAGCCACAGCTGCTTCCCTGCACGAGGGCTCACACACAGAGCCCAGCTCCCATGCCCTGGGCAGGGGCAGGAAACAGACCCTCACACTGGTTGGAAACGAGAGAGAACCAACAGCACCAAAACCATCAGGGCCTTCCTCACCAGAGATCAGCTGGACCATCACCTCCTTCCCAAGGTAAGGCCAGGGCCATCTCTAGCCTGTAGGAAGCCATAGGGAGAGGATATTTAGCCCATTGCCCTTGCTGGACTGTGAACAGAGATTGTGGGCTCAGGTCAAAGAGCCAGTGCTTGCAGTGGGAGCCCGGAAGATGAATATAAGTAAAAAGGTGGATGATCGGGCTTTGACCAGGCTGGGTTTCAGCTTGAGAAGGTAAGGGTTTGGCATTGCCAACTTGCACAAAAACTGTGCACAAAAACTCCCTCACAATGCCAGGGAGACCCTCCCCAGTGAGCTGTCAGCTGGCTAAACCCCCAAACCAGCTTGCACTGGGCACCTGGAGGAAACCTCTGCTCTCTAAACATTCTCAAAGACTCAGACATCCCTCATCACACTTACAAGCCCAGTCCCACTAGCGGGGCACAACGTGCCTCCTCCAGCCATCTCCTTGGCAATTAGGCCGGGCTAATATGAGACCCAGGGCAAATTTTCATGGACAGCTGTCTGTGTAAAATTCTCTTTCATTCCCCCTGGGCTGAGGGAAGAGGGACACTCCCAAACCTCTCCTGCAGTTAGGAATGGCATTCTAGAAAGCACCAGGAGGGGTAAAAAATCCCAGGATGCCACAGGGGTAATGGATGTCACTGCAGTGAGCAGAGGGAAGGTCTCTTCTAGGAATTAGGAGCCTCTTACTCCAATGCTGCCTTTCCCAGATCACCTGCAGGATCTGGGATGGTTTGGCTCTCTGTCCTGCTGGTGTTAGTGCTGCCTGCCTGGACTAAACCTACTGCTACCATCCCACCGTCAGCTCTGCCAGTCTCTCCCACTTGCCCAGGCCCCCAGGAGGGTCTTGGCAATGGGCAAACACTTTAGCACTTCCCTCTCTGCAGTGTTTTGGGGGATAGGCAGTCAAGGATGTCCCCCCCCAGCCCAGTCTGCACACACATGTTGAACACTCAGCCCCACCAGGCCGTGGCCAGGCACATTGACTGCCCTTTGGCGGGCAGCTCTGCGGGTGGCCAGGTGAGCCTAGGCACACAGGCACACTCTGCCCTCCCACTCCATCGGGGCTCCCAACAGCCTCCGGGAACACCAGGCAGAGCATTTGCAACTCAAGACACTGATGGCATCTGGTTCTGAATCGCAGTTAAAGCAGGGTGGAAATTCCAAATGGGAGATGTCCAGTTCAGCCACGCTTCAAAGAGACATCAATGGGGTAGCAGGGTCTAAATCAATAGGGTTTTGCTGGACCCTTAGGGGCATCCTAAACGCTACAGGCTCTGTCTAGAGCTTACAGACCCTCCCCTGGGAGCAAACCAACACCAGGACAAGTCACAGCAGATATTAGCACCCTGGGAACCAAGGGAGGGGAAAGCACCCCACAGCCAGCTCCCTCGTGCCTTTTGATTTCTAGTGTCTGCAGAGGAAAAGGTGGACGTGCAGAGCTCCCTGCTCTTGTCTGGCCTGCTGCCAAGCAGTGAAAATAAAGCATTTACAAGCAAAGATAGCTACATCTTTTTGGGTTCCCATCTATCTTTACTATGTTTTTGCAATAAAAGCCCTGTTGTCCTCAGTAAAGGTGAGAGTCATCACCAGGCAGTACCCTTTCCCTTCCACTGCTTCCCTACCAGGAAATCACAAACACATTACCATCATCGCTGGCGTTAGCAGCAGCCACGGAAGGGGACGGGAGCCCTCCAAAGCTTCGTTCCCTTAGAAAGGCAATGGGATCCCGCCGGAGACAAATTTGACTGTAAAGAAGTCACACCAGCACCAAGCTTTTACCGATTCAAGCTGGTCTCTGCGTCACATCACAAGCCATCATGGAGAGCAGCATGGTGGCTAAGGACCCAGCGCAGCTCAGCTAACAGGCTGCACTTCCCGGCCAGACCGGGCTTTCCCAGACCCCATGCTCTCAGCTCTGGACACACTGGTTTGCACTGCTCAGGCCAGGAGGTGTTGAACATTCAGGCTGGGGCATCGTCCCACAGAAAAGGGATGATCATCTCTCTTGCTGCTTCACCTTCTGGCAGCTGCCAGCCAGGCAATGCTGCTGACCAAAGCAAGATGCATTAAAACCGGTGGCCCCGAGCCCACAAAACGAGACCTCCCAGCGCTGGCTGTAAGCATGGGAAACTGGAAACTGCAAAGCAGGGCGAAGGCAGAGGCCAGCCCCAGCAGCCTGCCGTCTGCAGCAGGCAAGGTAGGAGCAGAGACAGGCTTCGAACCAGGTCTCTGGAGAGCCGGCCAGGAGATGAAGCCTACAGGAGCTAGGATTTATTTAGCCTGGTAGGGAGAGGAGCCAGACAGGATTCAGCCAAGGCATTTAAAAGGCCACTCAGTGAAATTAATGGTTGATAAATTAAAAACAAATCAAAAGGAAAGACCTTTGCAGCGCACAGGTCCCTTGTGGAGCTCGCTGCTGCCGGTGCAGGCCTCGGTACCGGCTGGTTGCAGGGGCTAAAAACGCGGGGCCGCACGCTGCCAGTCGGCAGCATGGAGTGGGCAGAGCTGCCTGCCAGCGCCCACGCTCACGGCCAGCAGCACTGGCAGGATGACAGGGACAGCAGCGAAACGTCCCGTCTGAGGCAGGGTGAAGTGCCAGGCCAAATAACGAGCTCTGCCGTGCTGGGGGAGAGGCCGGAGGAGTCCGGTGCACAGATGTTTGCTCAGAGGCTTCGAACAACTGAGGATTTTATTTTACGGCTCCTGTGAAAGCCGCACGCTTTCTCTGCTTCCCACCGACGGCCACAGACTTCAGCTAATACACAGAATATAACGTTTGGCCACAAGCCACCGGCCTATTTGGGGTCTTTTGTTTCATTTTCCTGAAAGTCTGCAAGCAATTAGCACGGGCTTAAAAGAAAACAGTGCTTTAGCAGGGCGGCTGCTGGGAGGAAGGCAGGTCCCCAGGCGCTAGGCACATTTGCCTAGATGAGGAGTGTGGGAACAGTGCGTGGCGAGGCTGTCTGTCAGCCCCTCCACGTTTAACCCTGCTGAGCGCCCCTCGCTCCCCGCCGCTGCGGCCCTCCCCTACATGCCAGGCGTTTACTACCTCCTCCTCCCTCCTGCAGGCTCGGAAACACAGCTATCCCACGGTGGGAACATCCAGCTGGGAATATCCAACCTCCCTAAACACAGGACAGACCGAGGCCATGGCATTAAACATGGGAGTGCTGCCTGGTAGCGGGGCTGAGGGTCTCAAAACCACCTATGAAGACTTGACTCATCCCTAGGCTTCCTGGCTGGCTCAAACAGCTGGATCAAACATCTGGCTCCAGGTGCAGCACAAGGCCAACGCTCACCTGCTACAGCCATGCTGCCCCCTTGCCTGTCCACATCCCCGCTGCGCCTCCCGTGAGCCTGTGCCACCCGGGCCAACAGCGGGGACAGTCTCCGCAGGCCCTGCTGTCACCAAGGGCTGGGTGTCTGGTCCCACCTGCGCGACCCCAGCACGGCCCTATGGCCAACAGGCATCGCGCTGCCCCAAAAGGGCCAAGCTGTGTGCTCCCGTAGCCATCGAATCATGGGGAAACGGGCAAAACAGCCTGTGAGAAGGGGTCTGCCCCATCCCTGCATATCACTCCCACCCCACCGCGGCATCTCTGACCTTCCCCAGGAGGGTCTGGCTGGGGCTTTGCGACTCTGCCCACCAAGAAGGGTTTGCGTTGCTGGTCTCAATCAGCTTCAGGGCAGTCTAACAGGGGTATGGAGAACACTCATTGCCAAGGTGCTCAAACACCATTCCCCACCCCAGCTTTTCTCCTGAGACCAAAGCACTCCACTTTTCCCCGTCTGCAATCCTGGGCTGCTCCCGGCATCACGGGGGCCCTCTGCTCAGCCCCTCCATGCAACTGGGCAACCACACAGAGTCCCCAGGCAAACTCCCGCGCAAAGAGACAACGCAGAGCCAGGCAGCACCCCACAAGCCCCCCACCTCACATCCCCACGCAGCTCCCTTCTCAGGGCAGCCTGGCACTGCTGCGGACTCGGCTCACGATGCCCGGGAACGCCTCACTCCACAGTGGGCTCCGTGACACCCGCTGCCACGTGGACGCCTGCACCCCTGGGGCAGGCAGCTCCCAGTGCCCACAAGGTCATCTGGGTCAAAAGTGACTGTCCAAACCCCACTGACCCAGTCTTCCAAGGACCTGAGCCTGGATCATTACATCAGAAGCTATGCGACTGCTCCAAGCCATCAACACCACAAAAACAAGCATCCCAGTTTTCTCTATAACTCCAGATGTCCCAGGTCCTGATTTTGGCAGTCCAAACGTAAAGAAAACCTCCCTTCAAGGGAGAGCAGAGCTGGGTAAAACTAGCTAAACACAGGGGGAAATTTTATCCGCAGGAAAGTCACACACTCCACCTCTCTGCCAAGTCAGCAAGCTCCCTCCCAACTCAAGGCTCGAGACCATCGGAAGATGCTCCGCTACTTTGTTTCCTCATTACGTATCTAATTACGTGAACTTCCAGCCACCCAAAATGCAGAGTAGCACTTGCCTCCCTCTAAGCGCAGTAACGAAAGCCTTTCTCTCTCTAGCCTTCTCCTCCTCCTTCATCTAGCTTCTCATGTAGGATCATTAGGGAGCCGATAAAAATAGGTTTTCTTATTGATTTATCTCCTTTATCCAATGCTCTCTCCCCTGAATAGTTGACTTGTTTCCTTAGCAACTCAGCTAATCCCAGCTACACAGCACACCTGCAGGATCCTCATTTCCTTCCCGGTGCACTCAAGGTGGGGAAGGCATC